GAGCGTGGAGGAGGGGGAGGAAAACAGTGGAGCCTATGAAGAGCATTTTGTGTGCAAAAGCAGTGGGGGTCTTGTTTGAGCTCGAATGTGAGTGGTGGCTGGCTTTCCGTGCGATCTCCCACACACAAATACTGAGCATGTAGGCCTGTCAATCTGGTTGTTTCTGAGTGAGAGCGTGGAGGAGGAGGAGGAAAACAGTGGAGCCTATGAAGAGTATTTTGTGTGCAAAAGCAGTAGGGGTCTTGTTTGAGCTCCAATCTGACTGGTGGCTGGCTTTCCGTGTGGATCTCCCACATACAAATACTGAGCATGTAGGCCTGTCAATCTGGTTGTTTCTACGCAACAAACATGTTTTATCCATTGTCCATTCTTCTTTGTGCACACAATGCCAAAGCTGAAGCAGGAAATGGGAGAGTGACATGACTAACAGTAGTGGACCCGCAAGCTGCCTAGCTTCCAGATACGAGGTCTTCGGTTCTGAGGGCTCTGAGAACTTTCGCCATAGCGATCTCACTATTGGTTTTGCAGATGGATGGGTAGACCGAGAGAGATGGTTAACGGAGGGCCAAAAAATTGCCGTTTTCACCGCCATGAGTAATGGGGTCGAACACTTCGGAAGGAAACAATATGGGCTCTATAGTACAAACATAAAAATAAAAAAAAAACAGGGAAAGAAGAAGGAACAAAAAACCCTTACTAAAAAAACATTTTCCGAATTAAAACAAGCATGCAACGATAACACCCCCTGTTAACCATGTGTGGAGAGTCTGGAGACCTGACGAGTACCCCAAACCTTTTGTCAAATACTGTTCGGCTGGCCAATCGGGGACTGTGTTCCTGGTTTCTCATCTTGGTCGGCTAGAATGTTAGCTGGTACAGGGGCGAAATGCACAGTCACCAGGAGTTCTTTATGTGGATTCAGGTGTGTATGGCCCTGCACTTGTGCTGACTCAAGTCATCGGGTGGTCTCCTCCTAGTTTTCTGATGATTTCGACTCACAGGAAATATGCCTGTGACATGCAGGCACGTGTCAGGACATCAGGTGGACTGGTGATTGTAAGGACCTTGCTGTGCTAATCACCCCACAAATGACTCTGGCGTGTCATTTGTTGCCGCACACGTGCACCCCACCTTTCTTTAAAGCCCAATGCCAAACCGATTGCGGTGAGTACTCACAAGTGATTTCTCCCTGCTTGCAATGGGTGCGCTGCATGGAAGGACAATTTAATGCTGAACCCGTGGGGTGAGTTTTTCAAGGTCCATACGCCGGGTTTGGACCGTTCTGTTGTCTCTTCTTTTGTTTTATGGCTATCGAGAGCACATTTGTGGTGTGTGTGTGCAGCGGTAATGTGTTCAGGTGAGTTTTTTGTGCTGCGAGGCCCTAAATGTCTGTCCTGGTACAATTAGGTTTTCTCAGCTTTTCTGACTTTTCAGCATGACCAGACCAAGAGACATGACGATATTGCAAAAGTTCATTGTTTTCCCCTGGACAACATCGATCCTGAGTTCTATCATAATCATCTTGCATGCTGAAAAGTGCAGCAAGATTGTATTTCTCACCTCCTGCTTTCGCTCCACCCTACGAACCCACCAAATGTTAAACATACAGAAGCTATATGTTCCGACTGCCTAAGTGCCTCTGCTGGGCCAGTTCTGCTGTCTTTTGTCCTCCCACCATACCCTTCTGATGATTCCTCGTTCTGCTCTCTTTTATGAAAAGGATACCAGGTGCATTTGTGTCCTCAGCAGATCTAAAATGGACCTCCTGCAAATATCGGGGTCCAGTTTGTGTTTTTGGGAGTGTCTCTGTCAGGTTCTCCCAGTCACCATCGACTGCACGCAAAGCATAGCACTAATGACAGCCTACCCTTGTCTTCAAATTGCTTCAACCGTGTCGTTGTTGTTCTGCTTCTGACAAGTGCGATTCTCCCCAGGCGAGACATAGTTGCCACATTCGCGTTCTGTCTGTCAGTCTCTGTCTTGCTCTCTCTCCAGCTCTCTCTCTCTTGCCGCTCACTCCTCAATCTGAACCATGTTGTGGAAAACTAGTTAGTTGAAATGATTTCACTCTTTCTGCCTTTAGTCCCAGGTCTGCCACGAGTCCCAAGGTTCCACGTCCTATCTATCATAGCCAACTGGTAGGTCCTTAGGGTGAAACGCTGACTAGGGTCCAGTTGGTTGACATATATTTCTGGTAGGTTGTGAGTCAAGTTCCTTAGTTCCCTACAAAATAACTCGAATCCCAAAACCCACTGGCCCAGCTCAGTTGGTATACCCCTGAACTGTTGAAATACAGGTCCGCGTTCAGACTCCATTGGAAGCAGGATGAGTGAAATACTACAACTCTGAATTACCCAAGGGCCGGTCACTTCGATGGTGATATCTCAAGACCGTCGCACTTTTTATTTTTGTCTCATTCAAAAGTCTCCGTCCCGAAAGTGGCAGCAGTACCAAAGGGAAGTCTGGGAATATTTAGTACCCACCAAACAATTGCGGCCTACAAAAGCTTAAAATTGAACCTCATTCAAAGCCTGGAGATGGTATCGAGGTTCCTATAAAGATGGAAGTCTGATTTAAACAACCAGGTATGGCATAACATTTGACACGTAAGGAAGGTACTACCCAACTGTGAAGTACATGAGCAGACGTTATAATCATAGTAATACATACGTAAATGAGTTTTGGCCACTCGATTATCTACACTTTTTTTTTTTTTTTCAAGTTTTTTTTTTTT